TTGACTTCATCAAAATTAAAAGTTTTTGTTTTGCAAAAGACACTGTTAAGAGGATAAAGAGACAAACCACAGATTGGGAGTAAATATTTGCAAACCACATATTCAACAAAGGATTAGTATCTAGAATATATAAAAAACTCTCAAAACTCATCAGTCCCGGTTGAAAAATGGGGAAAAGACATAAGGAGCATTTCACAGAAGAGGGTATTCGGATGACAACGAATTTACGCAAAAAGATATTCAACATCTTAAGCCAGTAGGGAAATGTAAATTAAAACCACAATGAGATATTACCACAATCCATTAGGATAACCAGGATGCAGAGAAACTGTATCATTCATGCATTGCTGGTGGGAATGTAAAATGGTATAGCCACTATGTAAAACAGTTGGCAGTTTCTACAAAAATAAACTTGCAACTACCATATGACTCAGCAATTACATTCCTAGGCATTTATCCCAGAGAAATAAAACTTACATTCATACCAATACCTGAGCACAAATTTTTATATCTGATTTCTTCCTAGTAGTCAAAAACTAAAAACAACCTAGATGTCATTCTTTTTTGCAGGGGAGGAAGTCTCGCTCTGTGGCCCAGGCTGGAGTGCAGTGGCGGGATCTCGGCTCACTGCAAGTTCCGCCTCCCGGGTTCACGCCATTCTCCTGTCTCAGCCTCCCCAGTAGCTGGGACTACAGGCACCCACCACCACGCCCAGCTAATTTTCATATTTTTAGTAGAGACAGGGTTTCACTGTGTTAGCCAGGATGGTCTCTAACTCCTGACCTCGTGATATGCCCTCCTCGGCCTCCCAAAGTGCCGGGATTACAGGCATGAGCCACCGCACCTGGCCAACCTAGATGTCTTTCAGTGAGTGAATGGTTAAACAAACTTTGGTACATTCTTACCATGGAATACTCCTCAGTAATAAAAAGAATTTAACTATTGATACACATAGTCTCTAGAGAATTATGCTCAGTAAAAAAGCCAATCCCATATTTAATTCTATACCTAACATTATTGAAATGACAAAATTATAGAAGTGGGGAACAGATTAGTGGTTGACAGTGGTTAAGAAGAGAGGGAAGTAGATGTGGCTACAAAACACCAACATGAGGGATCCTGGCAATGATGGAATTGTTCTGTATCTTGACTATATCAATATCAATATCCTGGTTGTGATACTGTGCTACAGTTTTATAGAATGTTATCATTGGGGGAAACTGGGTAAAGGGTACAGGAGATCTCTCTGTATTTCTTTTTTATAACTGCATGTGAATCTATGGTTATTTCAAAATAAAAAGTTTAATTAAAAACACACACACGGAAGAGAAAAAGGTCATATAAACAGTAGAAGGAGAAAATTCTCAAAGTAGACTCTGTTTCAGCACACTATTTGTGATCCAGGTGCATTTTATGAGCACAGTCTTTCTTAGCATTTTATTTGTAATAATCCAATAGGGAAGAGAAAGGAATAAAACAAGGTCAGCAGAGTGAATTTGTTTTGCCAACGCAAACTCGCTCCTCACCAGCAATTGAGCCTTGAGTGAGAAAGGGAGCACAGGTTGTGGTGGTGTTGGAGCCCCACCCAAAAGAGGTCCTCCAGCTGTGTGTTGGCTTCTCCTTGTAAACAGGCAATGGGAGAAGATCTGATAAGGGTCCCGCTTTGCTGAACCCTGGGTTCCCGATTCCCAGAAAGACAGGAAGTGTGGTGAAGTGTGGCACAAACACATATCAAGACCAGAAAGGACTCTCCTCACCTTTTGATAGTTTTGTGGTGTCATCAACAGACAGCTGAGATGCAGATGAGCATGGAGAGTTGCTCCATTTCTTCCTGCCCAGAGCACTGGGGAGGGAGGGCAGTCCACCGGGGGTGGGGCATCAGGAGTCCCGGAAGGACACAAGGAGTGACTGAGCAGCCACAGAACACAGACCCTACTTCTGGGATGTGGGCCCCAGCATCTAAGGAAATGCTCCCTTCTCACCCTGTGATAAGGCCACTGACATGACCCAGCTCTGCCTCTGTATTAGTCAGGGTTCTCTAGAGGCACAGATACTACAAGATTTTTTTTTTTCTTTTAGGATTCTTTTTTTCTGGTATAGTCAAGGATAGGAAAGGGGTTGTGATGGTTAATACTGAGTGTCAACTTGATTGGATTGAAGGATACAAAGTGTTGATCCTGGGCATGTCTGTGAGAGAGTTGCTAAAAGAGATTAACATTTGAGTCAGTGAGCTGGGGAAGGCAGATCCACCCTTAGATAGATGATTGATAGATGATTGATAGATAGATAGATACATAGGTGGATACATGGATACATAGATACATAGACAGATACATAGATACATAGATAGATATAAAGGGGAGTTTATTAAGTATTAACTTACATGATCACAAGGTCTCACAATAGTCCCCAAACTGAAGAACTTGGAGTTCGATGTTCCAGGGCAGGAAGCATCCAGCACAGGAGAAAGATGTAGGCTGGAAGGCTAGGCCCATCTCCTTTTCATGTTTTTCTTCCTGCTTTATATTCACCGGCAGTTGATTAGATTGCGCCCACCAGATTAAGGATGGATCTGCCTTCCCCAGCTCACTGACTTAAATGTTAATCTCTTTTAGCAACTCTCTCACAGACATGCCCAGGATCAACACTTTGTATCCTTCAATCCAATCAAGTTGACACTCAGTATTAACCATCACAACCCCTTTCCTATCCTTGACCATACCAGAAAAAAGGAGATAGAGCAATGGTTGAAAAAAACATGACAGGAGATTCTTTTATCAGCACCTAACATCTGACCTCTGACCTCTGGCTTGAGTGCAGGGGAACTGAGAAGAGGAAGAGGTAAGGAACGCCACTGTAGCTCTTACATTTTTCATCAGAGTACTACCCCAGACATCAGGGGAGGTGAAGTACATGCCCTAGGGGACCCCAAGGTGCAGCTTGAAGCAATTCACTGCATACTAAAAAGTCTTTGATTTTGTTTGTTTGCATAAGACTCCATGCTACATCTGTTTTATCACTGTAAAAAAAAAAAAAATGATGTGTCGAACTACTCATCATTGAGCAACATGAACTTTCAGACAGGTGGCCATATTTGATTCCTGGCTTTGGGCACAGATGTCATGTCATGCTTGGCTGAGAGTCTGGGCTCTGGAACTAAACTGCCTGGATTCAAGTTATGTCTCTACCTCTTGCTATAACAGATACTTTGGGCAAGTTCCTAATCTTTCTGTGCCTCAATTTCTTTATCTATATCATGGGGGTAGCAGCAGTGCCTACTTCAGAGTGTTGTTGAAAGGATTAGGAGTTAATAGGCATCAAATACTTCGCATGTGTGTTCAATAAATGTTCGTTTTTATTATTATGAGTTACTTTCTGAAACTCTACACCAGTCCCTAGATCCTACTTGAAAAGCAGTGGATGATACAGCAAAGATAAACCTGCCAGGGAAAAACCTGAACATTGATTTCTATTTCAGAAATGTTTTTGTTGTACTGGCAAGAACCTTTTAGCATAGACTTGTATTCTAACCACATTCAAGTCAGAGTCCTGAGTACATTACAAATGAAACCTGTCTCCTCTTTTTTTTTTTTTCACCAAGCTGGCTAAGGAGTCTTGCTCCATGAAATGAAATACTGAATAGTATAAAGGAGAATGCACAGGGAATTGGCCCTGCAGTTTTACGTATTGACACTCTCCATACTCTCCCTTTTTTCCAAGTGGATAAACACCATGTTTCCACGATGGTGACAGTATCCATGTCCTCTGCGGCAGCTACTTTGTCGGCTCCATTAGGGAAGTCTGAAAGGTTGTGGAGAACATCAACAGGGTTCAAATGCAGGCCTCCTGTGGCAGGCTCTTAGTTGGAATGTGGTACAACGAGAACCTTCTGAAGCTCGCCCAAGTTAAACACAGGATTTGTCACACACACGGCAAGGACATAAAACTGGTGTATGGTGGTGCCTCTGGTTTTCTGAAGTGCAAGACCCTAGCCCAGCAGTTAGAATTGGGGCCCCAGAGCTCTGCACTGGGGGTGGCTGCTTTAGTGAGTTTCCTTTTAATCGAATAGGCTTAAAAACCAGAATCCTTTGTTGTGTGCAAGAAACAGTCACCAGCTGTTTTCTGTTTCCACTGAGGGCAGGACAAGAGGAAATAAAATGGATCAAACAGCACGGACAGGATTTAGCTTAGATACAAGAGAAAACATCCTGATAGTGAGGATTATTGAACAGTCAAGGAGAGTTATGTGACGAAGTAGACAATCTCCTTCCTGAATTTTTTTTTTTATAAAACCCCAATATGGCTGAGGAGAAGGCTCTCTGAATCACTGACTAGCAGCCAACAGTACTGATTTACTAACTCCTGATTTTCTGAAATATTGGTGGAGCATGAAAGGCCCTCCAGGCTAAAGAATGTACCACATTCTACCATAATCTTGGTTAATGGCCTTCTCTTTTAAAAAGTATTAAATACTGCCAAGTGATCCCATATATCAGCCGTTTCTACCAGTAAATATCACCAGAATCAGATGACTTCCTAAAGCCCAACCACGATGCTCCTCCCAGGGAATGAGGTTTATAGAGCTCATGAGAAAAGTCCTGGATCCATCCTAGACCACACACTGAGGTGAGCCCTGGGTGCCAGAAGGAAGGGCAGCTGGGAAGTTGGAGAGGATGAAAGGGAAGCAGGAAGACCCTGCACCCTTCACCATCTTCATTATGGTTTTATCCAAGTCCCCATCGACCTGCTGAGGATGCTGAAAATCCTCTCCAGCCCAGCTCTTGCTCCATCCTATGAATTTCTAATGTGGGAATTAGAAGACTGTCAAGATTCCTTCTGGACTTATGGTCCAATCCTGCAATACCTCTGTTTCCCCAAAAGCCACATATTCTATCTATAAAAGAAGCTCAGAGAGTCCCAAAAGGGAGGAACCCTGACATGGACCAGGGCATGATGAAATCATTAGGGATGCCATTGGGCCATCACAGGAGAAGAGCTTGTACTAGGAAAAGCAAGAGCTTATATATACTTTAATGACAATAGTTGACATTTATAAAGCCAGTAAAATATTACAAGAGCTTTTATAGATCATCTCATCTAATTCTTACAACAAGCCTCTATTATACCATGCTAGAATTTGAGGAGTTATCACACACAAAGAGGTTAGAATTATTCCAACTTTCCCAGCTACGGGTGGAGGAGTTGGACACACACTCCTTATACTCCCTGGGAGTGTGACATATGAAGCTCTCTTCTCTTTCTTGAGTCTCTGCTCCCTTGGTTCTCTCTTCACTCTTCTTTCCAATGAACTTATGGAGTGAGACTGGATACATCAGGATTGGGAGGCACCAAAGAGGTCCTGAGAAACATAGCAAGGAATGAGAGGTTCAGACCAGGAATCAAGGGAGATGGCTAATCCCTTTGCCTTTCAATCATGTCCTCCTCTGGTAGTAGAAGAAGTAAACCCAAAGGAAAATACTCTTGCTGCCACTCCTGTCTCCCATAACCAATCACCCACTTGTTGGGCCAGAAGAAAGCTTCAAAATCTTTATTAACATCTCACTCTAGGTGCCAGTACTGGGACTAGCAATCAAAACGAAACCTGTTTGCTGTTCCTCTCCTTACATACAATCTGTCTTGTTTTAAGACATCTCAGACCCATTTCTAACTCAGGCATACATTCACCATAGCAGCACCGCCCAGTCAGTAAATCATGATGACAACAATAAGGGTGTGACCAGCTGGTTGCACCAGCTCTGCTGTGCCACCACTGCTGCAATCCCCGTGCAGCACCTGATAATGTTCAAAGCACCCCATTTTGCTGCCTCGGCAAATTAAGGGAAAAGGTAGAAACAAATACCTGTGTACAGAGAAGAGCGTGCTGGAGAGGGAGACGGGGAGCCTGGCCTCAAGCTAGTGTTAGGTGTGGAGGGTCCGTAAGGCTTCTCCAGGCTTACTCCAGTCCTGCAGACCACCTGTGGATCTTGTCACCAGCAGAAAGCAGAATGTCTTGAATCCTACTCCTGGAACTCTCTCGGCTTTTCCACATGGTGTCCCCTTTTACAGGACATCAGGCACCGTGAAGCTAAGCTTGGCCTTCTGGCTCCGCTTCGACTGTCTTCTTGCCTCCCCAGTTCAAAGAAAGAAAGGAAGTGGAGCGCCAAAGGAGGCCAACCCGCGGGAAATGTTTGACTTTCGAAAGGACTTGAAGTGAGAGAGGTCATCCTAGACGTTGAAGAGGGAATGTTTCAGAAGAAGGAAGAGCCCAGCAGGAGAGAATGTGGAAGACAGAAGAAGGGATTGACCCTTGGAGCAAATACAGCCGGATTCTCTCTTTCTGTCTTTCAAGAAGAAAACAGAAGTGTCTGGGAGCTGCTGGTGGTTCTCAGATAAACAAAGCAGGACACTGTGCTCATTCCTTTACATTTCAGTGATTGCCCTGAAAGGAAAGATGTCCATAAAGCAGTAGTGGAAGGGTTTGGGTTTTGGGGTTTTTGCGTTTTTGTTTATTTTTAAAGTGACTAGCTAATTACTTTTGCTGCGTGCGAGGATTTAATTCCAAGCTCACCTTCTCACATCAAGCCCAGAATGGTAACAGTGGAACTTTTCAGGTAAAGAAAAGGCATTCTTTTCACCTTTAGGATATGATTTAAATAAAACTTCAGAAAACGAAGAGATGTGGGAAAAGGACAGTTGCTCTGACTCTGGCAAGAGGCTTAAAATGAGAAAAAGAGATGCAAGCAGGAGCCCACAAAAAGGCCAAGAAAGATAATGAAGGAAGAAAAAAAAATGGGGTCACGAAGAATGTGTGAACAGTAGAAGGTCTGATCCACCATTTGTTTGTCCCTTCTTCTAGCTCTCCCATTGGGCAAGGTTGAATCCAAGAGAATTTGTAGGATGATAAGTGGAACTCAGTGTTCCACCATCCTCATCCTCATCCTCCATATTCAACACCTACTTGATAACCCAGCTCACACTTTCTTCCATGAGAAACTGGAAAGGAAAAATTCCTGGAGGATTTACAGGAAGTGCTATGGGGCCAGCCCTTGACCAACTCTGTTGAAAGTCAACGATGGGATGGAGAACTACTTTTTACAGCAAGGCTCAAAGCCCCAGAGATGGTATAAATGGGTGTTTTCTTCTTCCTCTCAAGTTGGCTTCTATGTTGAATCCCTGGATTTTGAGATAAATAAAATGTTCCCTGTGAAAGTAGCCTTTCATATCAGGCAACTTTCAAGAGTTTTAGGTTTATTAGGAACAGAAAGCCACTAAGAGGGTCTTGTCATGATCTAGGAGCCTCAAAAGTACAAAAAGATCCAATACTCAGTAGTTCTTAGTGGTGGCTCTTGAATGGAAAAAGGGATAGACTGGGGGGGTCTGAAAATAGGCAATAAAAACTGAGTTTCTGAAGTTTGCACAGGGGGGCTTTTGCAGTCTAAGTATATACAAAGATACTGAACAAACACATTGAATTTTCCACTGTAAATTTTTTGACCTATCTAAAACAAACAATTAACAAGAAAGAAAACCTGCATAAACAAAATTTTCTTTTGATTAGTCCATTAAAGAGCATTTAATAGCCGCACACCATCAAACTGATAATCATTAAAAGAAAGGATAAGAAAAAGATCTCAAAGTGGGAGGGAGAAGGGGAAGATTCCAGATAAGGAGATGTGTTTCCTACAAACAAGTATGCAAACAAAATAGATCCTGCAAAAGGCACTGCTTAAGAGAAGGAAGTTAAACAATGGCTTTATTGATTTAAGACATGTGGATTTCATTAGGGAAGCAGAATGCACAAAAAATGGATTGCGATATCTGAAACGAGGCAAGGAGCAAAATTAGGTCACAGGGCTCCTCAGACAAAAGGAATGATGAATCTTTATTAGGTAATTGGACTCAGAGGTAAGAGGAAAAAAATAACTCTTCCCAACCCCACTTCGGATAGTGTTTAAGCCTTCAAAGGTAAATCTACATGCTGAACTGTATGGCAAATCCCAGGGACCTACTCTTTTCGACACAGCATCTGCACTGCCAAAGAATCCCTCAGCCAGAAACTAGAGGTTCCCCAGGAAAAAACTCATGCTGATATGGAAATAAATAACGTAGAGATCAAAGCAATGCATGTAAGATGTCCCAATGGCCCCAACGTGAAGCTTCAGCTGAATTCAAAAGTAATAAAGTAGCAATAATAATATTTTTTTACTGGGATAGACATTTTCCTCTTAAGAGCTCATAACCCATGGTAGCTTATATAAAAGCTGATATGCTATTCATGTGGGAGATCATTTTTAAAATAGTGGACAACAAAGCAAAAATCACTGAACTGCTCTAGTGAAAAAATTTTCACGTCAACAAATACTTAGAAAGTGCGATGGGAATACTTTTGCACAAACCTCTTAATTCAGTTTTGACCCTATGGTCTGACATGCCCTGTCAAGGCAAAAAATTTTAATTAAGAGAAATAGGACTTTTAAGTTCTGTTAAGTTATGTCTTTCTTCCTGTCTCCTTCCTTCTCTGCATTGCTTTTTCTAAAATTTTCTCACCTTTATCTTATGACCTAGCTGCCTCTTCCTGCTTCCCACCAAGAGCTTGATCCCATAAAACTGGCCCTTCACTGATATCCTTGCACATCTGGTCTCCCCAGGATTCCATTTCCCCTAAGACCAGCCCAGGGAAGAGCTATTCACGTAAACCAATCTCAGGAAGGAGTTATTGGCCTAGTAATTTTACCAGATCAGATAAGATTTACACTCAAATTGTTGCCTTAGATACATTTCAACACACAATGTTATCAATTGAGCCAAATAACTACGGAAGAATTTACTGACCAAAAAATGTAATAGCCTTTTTATATCAAAGATAAATAAATGATTTTTTAGAGCACCTGATTTGTACAAGGTGTCCCGTTAAACTCTTTGAAATGACACAAATACAGCACTTAACCATCCTGAGTCCGAGGACTACAGACTTCATGAAAGAAGCCAAGCATCTTCAGTGTAGGGCTGGTGTGTGGCACAGGGAGGTATACAGAGACCTTTGTGGAAGTTCTCTGTATGGAGGAAGGGCTTGGAAGGGTTTTCCCCTAGGTGAAGGGATTGAGGAAAGATTTGCTAAGTAGTGCTTTTGTCTGTGTTTTGTAGAAGGGTTCAACCAGTATAGGGAGGATTAGGGCAGATTAAAAAACCTTGAGCAAACATGTGAAAAGTCCTACCAGGTGGTTTGCTCCCTTAGACAGCCCTCAGGGATGTCATAGTGATGGAAGGCTTTAATGGCATAGACAAGGAAAGAGGGCTCCCAACGTCAGCCTCCCTGCCAACCAGTGTAATCCAGGCTGGGAACCCAATTGCCTCCTGATGGATGTCATGGATAGAGCTATGTGGGAGGAGAAAGGGCCAGAAAAACATGTTCAGATTCCATGTGACAGGCCCCAAATGCTATGCCAAGGAGTTTGAACTTAATTCCAAGGGAAATAGGGAGCCTCAGAAAGCAGGAAAATAATGTTTTCAGACTCCCACATAGGCAAGTGTGTGTGACTATGTGGGGGTGTATGTGTGAGTGTATGTGCAGGTGTGAGTCTGTGTGTGTGTGTATGTTCATATGTGGATCTGTGTGGGTGTGTATAAGTGTATGCATCTGTGAGTGTGCACATGTGTAGATTTAAGGGTTTGTTTGTGTGTATGCAGGTACGTGAGTGTTACGTGTCTGATTGTGTGTGTTAATGTGTGAATGGGGGTGTGTTAGTCCATTTCAGGCTGCTGAAGTGAAATACCTTGGACTGGGTAATTTATAAACAGCAGAAATGTATTGCTCACCATTCTGGAGGCTGGAAAGTCCAAGATCAAGGTGCCAGCAGATTTAGTGTCTGGTGAGGGCTCATTCCTCATAGATGATGCCTTGTATGTTCCTCACATGGCAGAAGGGGAAGGGGCAAACAAGCTCTGTCAAGCCTCTTTTGTAAGAGCTCTAAACCCATTCATGAGGGCAGAGCCTTCATGACCTAATCACCTCTCAAAGGCTCCACCTCTTAAGATGATTGCACTGGGGATTTGGTATCAACATATAAATTTGGCAGGGGAGTGGGGGGCACAAACATTCAGACCATAGCAGGAGACAGTGGGGGAAGGTACTGACAGAGATGAGCTAGTCAGTGTAGAGGAGAACTGAGCTTCATGCAGTGGGGACTTGATGGACTCTGATCTCAATCAATAGTTCCACCTCACTGTTGATGTATCCCAGCCTTGGGAGGGAGGGCTGTCACCCTGAGGGCCTCTGCTGCCCAACCAGGAGCCAAGCCTCTGGCATTGACTCTCTCTGACATCCCCTGCCTGTCACTGAAGGCTGTCATTCACCCCTGCTTGCTTCTTCCCTTAGGGAAATGCAGGTCTTCTTTTTCTCTTCTTCCTGCCTTATTATTATTATTATTATTATTATTATTATTTTTTGAGATGGAGTTTTATCCCTGTTGCCCATGCTGGAGTGCAATGGCACGATCTCAGCTCACTGTAACCTCCACCTCCCAGGTTGAAGTGATTCTCCTGCCTCAGTCTCCCGAGTGTCTGGGATTACAGGCGCACACCACCACACCCAGCTATTTTTTTTTTTAATTTTTAGTAGAGACAGGGTTTCACCACATTAGCCAGGTTGGTCTTGAACTCCTGACCTCTCCACCTGTCTAGGCCTCCCAAAGTGCTGGGATTACAGCTTTGAGCCACTGCGCCCAGCCCTTCCTGCCTTATTTTTTTAAAAAGCATATATATACACACACATACACAGATACACAGACACACACGTAAACACATACACATACACATATACATATGTAGATGTGTTTGTACATATATATGTGCATATATAATTTTAAAAACAGAGAACAAGGAAGAGATATGTGATAGGGTTTTATTTTAATCCTGTTTTTTAACCTGTCATTGATTTGCAACAGGACCTGGGACATGTTATGCAACTAATTTCTTCATTCTAAAAATGTTGGCCAAAAGCCTAATGCATGCTCAGCACTGTGTTGCCTCTTGCTGGAGTTACTTTCAGGAACAAAAACAGAGGCAGAACTTACTAATAGGGGAGCTAGACATTACAACAAATTACACTGATCTGGCAACTACGTGGAGGAAAGGGCTGGGGTCAAACGTACAGGGTACTATGAGAAAGTGTATTTGGGGGCCCTAATTTCCTCAGTGGGAATTGGAGGAAGCATCTTCCTTTGTTAATCGGGGATACTGGCACTGACCTGAAGGGGCTGCTGTGAAGATTATACCATATGCCCCGGTGCCTGATAAAACGGCGGTGATTATTATTGCGGTGGAGGCCCGGTCCCGGACCACTGCAGGAAGGCAGCAGGCTGGGACGCACAGAGACCATAGCAGCCAGAGACGGTCAGTCAAGGGCAAAAATGTCCAAGAGCTGGAGCCCAGACCTGCGAGAGAAGCTCACAGAGCCCAGCCCGGGGAGGCCTGCCAGCAGTCAAGCCAATTCCCCTACTCCTGGCACAGGAGGAGAGGGACACTGCCGCCACAGTCTCCAGCCCTCCCACCAGACGCAGCTCTAGGTTCTGTTTTCCACCAATCCACAGCAGAAACCAAAAGAAGAAATGCATATGACAGAATCAAAGCCATGCACAGTTTTCCAAGTTACAGCTATCTCTCAGGTCAATCCCCAATTTCAAGTCTCCTTTGCTTCTGAAGTGTTCAAAGTAGCTGAACACAACTTTTCCATTACCCAGCAACTCCAGTGACAGGAGATGCTCTGTGTTCCCTGAATCATTGGCCTACTGAAAATAATTTTAGTGGGGTGTTTTAAACTATGGTTAAAAATAAAATAAAATAAAATAAAATAAATAGCATTTTAAGCCATTTTAAGTGCACCATTCAGTAGCAGTAAGTACATTCACATGTTGTACAACCAGTCCCCCATCTATCTCCAGAACTCCTTTCCCCTCACAAAAAGAAACCCTGTATCCATTAAACAACAACTCCCACACCTCCTTCCCCAGCCCCCAGTAGCCATCATTCTACTTTCTGTCTCCATGAATGTGCCTATTCTAGGGACGCCACACAAGTGGAATCAGACAGCATTTGTCCTTTGGTGTCCGGCTTAGCATAACGTCCTGGTGGTTCTAGAAGTTAATGCAGTGTCCACATGTGGATGAAGCTGGGAAACAGGTTAAATGCTGAGTGAGTTATTATATTACAGCAGAGCATCGTGAAAGTCAGCAGCACCGTAGGTCCGGCCTCATGAGCTGTTTGACTGGGTGGAAGTCACTTAACCTCTCTGTGCCCAGGCTTCCTCACATACAAAATGGAAATAATGACAGTACATATTCATAGGGCTTTCATGAGGATCAAATAAATTACTATATGTAAGACACAGTAATACCTGGCACACTGGAGACACTGGACAAATATTAATATAATTTAAAATAAAGCACACACATGAACATATGTCTAAATATAAAATTACAGGCCCAGCACGGTGGCTCATGCCTCTAATCCCAGCACTTTGGGAGGCTGAGGTGGACATATCACCTGAGGTCAGGAGTTCGAGACCAGCCTAGCCAACATGGCAAAACCTCATCTCTACTAAAAATACAAAAATTAGCTAGGCATGGTGGTACATGCCTGTAATCCTAGCAACTTGGGACGCTGAGGCAGGAGAATTGTTTGAACCCGGGAGTTGGAGGTTGCAGTGAGCCAAGATTGCACCATTGTACTCCAGCCTGGGTGGCAGAGAGAGACAACGTCTAAATAAATAAATACAAATATAAAATTATAAAGTTTCTATCCTCACACAACAGATTTTTATGTGATTATGATTTAAAAAATAAAACCACTCTCAAAAAGAATACCTTATATTCATCTAGAAATTAAACATGAATTTTCTATTGGAAACATAGAAAGAAATTTAAATTCATCTATGACAGCCCTCAATCTTAAGAAAAAGATAAGCTCTAGAAGGATTCTAAGCAAGTTTAGAAAAGATATGCCCCAGACTTCCATTTGACAGTCTCCACAACCATTCAAGAAATGAGAGGTAAAACTTAAAACACTGTGATAAAGCAAAATATTGCAAAATTGGTAATGTTCACAAGTTGAGATCTAGAAATACTATAAGCAGTAAACTTCAAAGGGAAAAACATCCTCGATTACTGCATATTTATGGAAGAAGTTTCCCCATACTGAACAAAGAGATGTCTGTTTATCTCAGATAAACCCATTTTATGGGTAAAAAAAAAAAAAAAAAAAAACCTAAATGATCATTTTGAGTGTAGATTTTGCAATCAAAATCTTGACCACATTTTAACATTCTCCCTCCAGTCTTCTACTTCTCAGTCAGAGGTCATCATTGTCACTTTGTGGCTTGACTTTGCAGCCACGTCTTCCAAAGGCCTGTTGTCTTCTCACCCCGGCACCCACAGGACGTCTGCAGGGAAGCCATGTTGCCTCCTAAGGGCCTGCAGGCCTGCTGTGATCCAGCACCATCAGAGCCAGGTAAGATTTGCATTGTCTCTTCATCTGGTCACAGACGGGCTTTTCCCTTTTTATAAATTTGACACACAATAAGCTTTGAGTGAGACCAAAATCAAGGAACCCAACATGTGTACCAGAGGGTCATTTGAGAGGGTCATTTGCGTCAGGGCATGGGTTTAAGAGTCCTACAGCTTGGAGGCAGGTCCTTGCTCTTGTTCAGGTCAGAAACCTGGTAGTTCTTCACTCCCAGCAGGACTGTAAGGACAAAGAATTCAACTGTTTTGACTCTACAGTTTCAGAAATAGAGTTTTCCTTTTCAGAGAGAATAGTCATAATTCTCTCTTATCTTACGCTTTCACTTGGCCTTTTTGTGTGTGTGCTGTGCTGGCCTGATTAGAGTCTGTTGTCTTTAAGGGTTTTTCTGAAACGTTTACTCAGGAAACACATGGAATGCACTCTGACAAGTAAAGCCCACATCTCCCTTTACTGAGGCTTTTTGTTTTCACATATTAAATATCTCATACCTAACCCAATACTTTATTCGCCAATAAAGACCCAAGGCTTCAGGCGCAAGGAAAGGAAAGGGAACCAGTGGAAATCAGTGGAATCCCAGTAAGAGGGGAAATATTTCATGAACTTTATTTTTAAAAGCAGGTTTTTAGGGGTACGAGAAAATTCCCCCAGACTTGTTTCATTAGAAAGAAAACACAGTATGTGTCAGGGTATGAAAACAGGAAAGGGTGAGAGAGTAGCCGTTGTTTGATCATCTCAATCAAGGGGAAATTTGTCTGAGGTAAACAGTTCTCAGAAACAGCAATAGTTTCACAGATTTGATTTTTAAAATAGTTTTGGTATCCTCCAAAATCAGGCCTAGACTAAAAGTCTGCACTCCTTAGGACAATGAAGGCCAGTGGAAGTCATGCAATAATTAGGACTTGCAATAATTACCTTGGAACCCAAAATGGTGATGACTTTTTTTTTTTTTATCATGGAGTAACTTAGAGATAACAATGTCTAATTTGTGGAGATGAGAAAATAAAAACCAGACTGAGTTAAATATAGCTCTTACCTGCTGACAATAATAGCATGTAAATTGACTGAGAGGTAATTGAAGGAAAAGCATATGGATATATATAGATTATTCAAAAGAATAAAATATTTATTAACATTAGACACATTGATTAAATATACATGATAAAATTCTAGGGATACACTAAAAGACTAGAAATAAACTGCACAACTTCCAAACTCATAGAGGGAAAAAAAGAAGCAGTACAGATAAGGCAACTTATTTTATAAATTTCTATAATAATTATGTTGACCATATTTAAGAAATAAAAATTAAAGATGACTGCACTAAACATTCAATTTAAGAAGTTAACTTTGAAAAACAGAATAGACCCAAAGATAGTAGGAAAAAAGAAAGAATAAAGGCAAGAGAAGAAGTTAACAAAATAGAAAACATAAAAGCTATAAAGAGGATCAAGATGCTGAGAGTTACATCTTTAAAAACACTAATAAATGGGCAAAATTCCAGCAAAACTGATCAAGAAAAGACAGAGAAGTTATAAATAAACAATATTAAGACCGAGGTAAAAAGAGGACCAAACCACAGATGTAGCAGTAATTATAAAGATAGAAAAAGAATATTATGAGTA